ACACAGTTCTGAAGTCTCACAGACTGTGGTCTGCCTGTCAGGTAGTCAGTGATCCACGAGGTCATGGAGGCTCAAATGTACATCTGAGGTGTCAATTTCAGCTTCGGTATATGACGTTTAGAAAATTTTCAGCATCGTAAAAAATATTAGTCACCTCGAACATCTTTAAATTAACACCAGTACCAGAATTAAATAACACCAATGTAAATTAGGTATTGTACATGTACATCTTGTGCTGAAAACAGGGGGCTCTTCTTAACACAGTGGATTGTGGCTGTATGGAGCAAACTACAGAGAATGACTAGTCATTTGATGAATACTGATTCTTACTGACTACTGAAGATTCTTTCAGTATCTTCAGATTGCTTCGTATTGATTCCTGGTTATTTACTGGCAACATCATGTATTGAAAATTTAATATTTTATAAAGGAGTCAGATTGTAACAGTTATATTTTGTTCATTTTTGAGGCAACAGTGTGCAGTAGAGTAAAGAGCATTCAATTAACACCTAGGTTACATAAAAAAGCTCAGTCTGTCAGTGTACTGCAAAATTTAATTCCAGTGATTAGCTACTATGTGGGATTCTATGATAACATATGATTAGTAGTATAAACTAGGTATCATGTTTGTGGAGTCCAAAAAATCTTTAAACTGTAAAAAATCACATTTGGTATAAGCAATTTACAAAGGAACAAGTAATAGGTTTATTCCATGCTGAAAGAGAAGAAAGAAAACACGTTTTGGCTGTGGAGCCTTCTTCAGGTGTAAGCAGCTACCCACCTGAACTACTTTAAGCTATTTTACTGCAGATCCCTAAACTGCTAGCGTCTGCTGTACATAAAACAAAGAAAACACCAAGTGACAGATGCATGCAAGTAGTTGAGTGTCTACTAATCTGTCGGTTACCACTATTTGAAAATTGTGTGATTAGAGCTACATAAAAGTAGTTCTTAATTTTCTGTTTAAAATAAAACAAAAAAACATGATTAACATGAGTGACTATTAAGAGAAGTGTGACAAGTTGGTTGCATTATACATTTAAGTGCTGCTTTTGCATTTCAAAAGACCTTTCTGTTCTACCCATGTTTTAGATATTATTTAAATATATTCCTTTAAATTATCTTCATATATTCTTTTATAGATTGTGTTTGTTGGTTTGTTTTATCCATTTGTTCCCTGAGCCAAAACGCAGAAAAAAAACACAAGGCTTCGGCCGAGGAGCCTTCTTTGGCTTGCACCTGAAGAAGGCTCCACAGCCGAAACGTTGTTTTCTTCTCTTTCAGCATGGAATAAACCTGTTACTTGTTCCTTTGCAGCCTACGCATGCTGACGTAGTTACCCACTTGAACTATTTGTGCTATGATGCATGTTTCCACACCTTTTTGGAAAATGTGGCTGCATGGTAGCTGTTGCGCCAAATATTATAAGTATAAAGAAAAAGAAATGTATTACTCTGGAACAAAAGTTGATGATGCAATATAAGAGAAAGGACCGAACGCGATATCATTCGTGCTACTGGGCTTACTTATGCATATTGGTCAACTTTCTTATGAAAAATGTTTTCTGCCCTCCCGCTATCAACTATCATTTTATAGCATAAAAAGCCTGTACTTGTATTTTTGATCATGCCCAACCCTGCCTAAATTAACAATTGCCAAGTCTGCCAAGTGATAATTAGGTAAGACTGAATCTAGATATACTATTAACAATTTGAAGGTGTACTACTCAACTTTGTAACAGGAATGTCTTACCAAGTTAACCTTTTGAAAAAACGTTTTATTTTAATAAACTACAAGGAAGTATTGGAGCTATTGAAACGGGTATGTATCCTCAGATACAGTTTGCAGTTTCTTTTTTGAACTTAAGTGCTAGAAAAGCACATTTTTATAGTACTTTCCCCTGTTTGTATTGTAGGAAGCGTGTTCTGGCTGTACTCCAGGAGATGCTTGTGCTGCCAAATACCCCAAACTCTCTTGTATCACTTCTTGTTGAGAAGCTGGTAACTGTGCTCAAAGATGATGACAAAAGAATACAAGTAGTAAGTTAACTAATTTGTAATTTTACTTTGAGAAATTAGTATAATTAAACAATGATTTGTACTTTAATTGTTTTTATTGAGAGTAATGACAATTACAAGTTTAATATCTTTAACATTCATTAAGAAACTTAACTTTTGACCTTCATTAAATAACTAGTCTGTTACAAACAGAAAACACTTTTTATAGTCTCCATAATACACGTACAAAAAAGAAAAAACGACTCTTTTAAAATTTAAATCATAGAAAGCTCTGGTGTCCCATCAAATGATTATGATTTAGAATCTAGGCTTTTAAACGTAAACGTATATCCAAGTTGCCCTTGTGTTAAAAAAGTTTAATTTTTTCAAAAGTAATTAAAAAAACCTCATTAAATGTACTTGGTGTATGAATTTCAAGAAGATAAGTTTTGAAAGTCATATGAATACTGTGTTGAATTATAAAAAATATGGAAATAAATTGTTCCAGCTTCTGTTTTTGTGGTTGTTCTTGGAAGTTGAGGCATAACAATTACCATAATTTTGCTTTTGTTTTTAAAGTGTGTCAAGATGGCAACCTATTGTTTGCAAGATTTTTATAATTTATGTCATCTTATTGGTGAAAATTAGTATAACCTTTCTGAATTTAAAATGTATTTGAATTAATAGATTGCTGAGATCATCTCTGATGTACGTGAGCCCATCGTAGCTGTCGGTGAACCTACTTGTGAAAATGAGGCCAGAAAGAGACAAATCAAGGTAAGAGTAACTTTTGTTGTATTAAACTGAGGAACAAAGTAGGAAGGAGGGGTCATTAAGGGTTGCTAAAAAAATCTTTTTATTCAGAGTAATATAGTTAAGCATTAAATCATTGTATTTTGTTGAGTCTTTTTAATACACAGCTTGAAATGTGTTTTTGCACTAGACAGGAATGTTGGAAAAAATATGATGCTAGCAAGAATGAATCTTTTTTACATGCTTTTAGACATCTAGGCAAGCCATGCTATGAAACATAAATCTCTGGAACATTAAAAGATCTGGCTGCATTTGTCAGACCAGTAATGTACTAAAAGTAAAGGAGAATTACCTCTTATTAGTAAATGATTGAGGGGTGTTGCATACTCAATAATTCATTCATGTTACTCAGAGCTGATCCTGGATATTATCATATCAATAAATTGTTCAGTTTAGAACACACGGACTCTAGAGATGTGCCCACTGTCATTAACGTCAAGCGAAAAGTATCTTCCCTAATTGCCCCTGATCCTGGAGGACATGAAATCCATGCAACACATTGCTGGATCACTAATTAATATTTCCATGTCCATCATACCTTCCCCGAAAGAAAATGAGAGCTATGGAAAGGTTTAGTCAGGCGATTTCAGGAGTGTATTGATCACTTCGACCGGTATTAATGCACTGTAAACAGCCAATAAAGAAAGTACAGTAGACTCACATTTTCAGTCTCACAGTTTCTTCCGGTAAACTGTCAGATTATTGAACTGTACATCTATCACTGATTAACACTGAAGTTTAATTTTGTTGTTCTTGTTGCTGCTCCTGTTCTGTGTTTATTTTTGATATTTCCTTAATTATTGAATCATACATGCAAATAAGCATTTCATTGCACTTGTGCATATGACAAATGAACTGAACATTTTACACAGTAGTTAGGTTCCTGACATAGCATGTATACCCAAAATTGAGAATAATCAGAACACCCCTCCTTAGACCATCCTATTGCCCTCCCTTAAACAAGTAGTCAATTGTAAGTGTATTAGAATATATGTAGTTTAAAGTACTATGAAAACAGTAATAGAGTAAATATAGTACTGTACACACCATAGATCAAATAAAATGTTATAATAAAATGCAGGGAACACTCCATCATCTCCTACTAATGATAGTGATGATGTATATGAAAGGAGTGTGCAGCTGATGACAGGTGAAAAACTGATCTCCAACATTCCACCTCTTAACATATGCAAAATCTCGGTTTTTAACTTTAAATTAGACACTTGCCTTTTCCCTTCCTACTTGTTTTCGGTTTCCGAGCTGTGTTGCGAGTGATGCGACATGAGAAATACTGCACTGGCATGCTATGAGCTCTGTAACTAGTTCTCAAAGCGTAGCTGGGGTGCGTGCCCTGCCAGATTTGAAATTGCGAAATCTCGCACATTATTGTTTTTTTTTGTTTGTTTTTCATTTATTTTTACTTTTACATTTTTTTGCATTATTTCTGTTTGGAGTATAGTTTTTATCAGTCTTCTGTAGTGACCAGTGTAATCAAGAACCTGGTTTGCTGTTGTATATTTTGAGTCAGTGACTCAAAGTTGCTCCCATTTTTGTCCTCTATTTTTGAAGCCCTTTCAGCAATTTTATCTTTTGTCTTCCCCAGTGCTGGTTATAAGGTTATTTTTTAAAACCTTTCCTTGTTTCTTTTGGGAAATTGTTAATCTTTACATTAGGGCTATGTTCAGATCTTCCTTTAAATTATTTTTTAAAGTTTCAATTTAATATTTAGTTTTAATAAACTAGAATCGTGTATGAGGTACGCCCTCAGAAGTTAGCTGTTTGATTAATGAGTTGATGAGGATAATTATCTAATCATTAAACCACAAATCTGAAATGGAAGAACATTACAAAGCTGTAACAGGGACATCTGGTCAGGGTATTAGAGATTGTAGATCTTCAGTCCAATGAAAGTGAGGAATATTATGTGGGAGAAACTTTAAAAGGTTTTTAAAACGGTAGGAAACACTAAAGTGCCAGTCTTAATTTTGAACATTGTTTTTTTTTTCTTTTTCTTATTTTAACAAGCTTGCTGAAATCAAAGTAAAAATAATGGAAGCCAAAGACACCCTGGAAGAATGTGTTGCAGATCAAGACTTCAATCGTGCTTCTGAGCTCAAAGATAAAATTGCAGAGTTGGAAAATCTTAGGACACAGTTGATTAAAGACCCAGAAGAGCCAATAATAAAAGAAGTCCGTGTGGAGAAGGTAAATCTCAGTCTATGTGGATTTCTTTTTAAAATGGAAAATTTGGTGCGGAGGCTCTCTTGCTTTGTACTTGTTACTTGCTTTCTTACTATGAGTTGCCTTAAACTATGAAAGCTTAATTTATGCCAATTAATCTACGAAGTTATGAATAATGTAAAGTTAAAGTAACCCAAAATATTTTTAAATGCTTTGCTTATGCTGTATTTTAGCCACTCACAAAAGCTTCCACGAATGAAAGGGTATAATCTTTGAATGATGGGGTTATTGCTTTAAATCTGAGTTGGTGATGGAATTCATGAATTGTTTTTTTTTTCTATCAATCGGCAACCGGCTTAATTTCCTTATTAAACAAGAGTTGAGGACTATAGTTTAAATTTGTATCACCCCTCTGCACTTGGCTGACAGCTTATGAGAGACAAAGCCAATGCTTTCATATAGTTTCTGCAGTTTCCCTCATGGGATCCATAAAGTATATTAGTGTTTGCAAACCTGCGAATATCAGAATAATCAGTCTTCTTACAGTAAGTGAACATCCAAGCACACAGTATTATTTGCTTAGTGCTTTTATTTGACTCAGCTATTGTGGCATTATATGTATGGCATGGCTTACTTTTATGAGAACAATGTAATTCGTTTATCAAAGAATTTAACCAATTTTTTAGCATCAAACTTAATTGTAGCTGAAGATGAAAGAATAAGTGTGCTTATATTGAATAGGTGCATTACGGTATGTTTAAGTTACCTAGACAGTTGAATAATGCATTTATGTATTGTGATTTGCTCCACTTATTTTTTGTATGAAATGTAGTGGCTGTTGTCTTGGGTCACTTAAGCAGATTTTCCCGACAGAAGCAACTGTGCTATGCCTCATCTGCACTCAGGTGCAGAAGCTTCTCATCAGTCAGTTCCTGCTGATGTGGAACATTATCATAACATGGTGCCTCCACCATTGCGTTTAACATTTGAAAAACCTTAAAATATTGAAAAACCTTGGGGTTTTAAACCTCTGGCTTAACATTCGACCCACATGTGCAGCATACTGTCAAAACATATTTTTTTCACCTTAGAAATATCGCAAGACTATGCCCTATGCTATCATTAACTGTGGCTGAAAAGCTGATCAATACATTTGTATTCTCTTGAATTGACTACTGTAATGCTCTACTCGCTGGGGTATCTAAATATACTCTGAACAAACTGCAGTATGTCCAAAATTCAGCAGCCAGAATCCTGACCTGGTCTAGTGCAAGTGTTCACATTACTCCTGTCCTGGAGTCCTTGCACTGGCTTCCGGTCAAATCCGTGTAGACTTTAAAATCCTCATGCTCACCTATAAGGCTCTGCATGGCTTGGCACCTCAGTACCTGTCTGAACTATTATCGCCCTACTCCCCACCTCGCAACCTCCACTCTTCTAATTCTGCTCTCCTTACTGTCCCCCAAGCCTGTTTACATTGTATATGTGACAGGGCCTTCTCCTGTTATGCTCCCAAGCTTTGGAACTCTTTGCCCAAGGATATCAGAGAGTCACCTTCTCTAAACTCCTTCAAATCCAGACTCAAAACCCTCTTCTTCAGAAAAGCCTTTACTTAACTGGTTCCATTCTTCACCCCTCTGCTCTTCTTAGTACCACCATCCACAGTCTCCTCTATATATTGTAATTGTGTCTTATCCTGTGTATTCTCCTTATTTATTATTGTATTCTTCTTATTTACTGTTATTGTCATCCAGTAAAGCGTTTTGAGAAGCCACCTTTAAAGACGCTATATAAAATAGTTTTTTATTATTATTATAACATTTGGAATCCACTGGGTGATGGACTGTGTTAGGGTTGTGCTAGATGTAATGTTCAGTGTTGTTCTTGTCTGACCATAAAACCTTCTGCTACATATCTGCAATATATTGTTAAAGATAAATTTTATGTAAAGAATTTCTTGCTGCTTATCCAGATGTATGAACAATAACTGCTATCTTAACCAGAGAATTTTGCAGAGCTTTCAAAATCACTTTTGGCTTTACAGTTGCCCTTAATAGTTTTCTGCTTGCTCACCTGTGTAGATTTGGTATGAATATGGTTGAATTGGTCCATAAAAAAGCATCTAATTACATTCAGGGGCTTAGTCTTAAGCATGGAAGACTGGAGAGCTTATCCAAGTATTTGATGTCCTCATTTTGGTATTACCAAAGTCAACCTTGTGAAGTTCATCTGAACACAGAATACAAACGTAAACAAGGATGATGTAGATATGTACTGTGGGAGAACTGTATATAACTAGGAGATTCTTGGATTAACTACTAACAAACCAATAGACTAGATTGGCTGAATGATAACCTTTCCTATGTTCTTAATTGCATATTCATTTCACAATATCTTGAACCACTTTTTCTGAGCATGTATGTTTCTATTCATGTTGGATTTGTTACACTTTCTTTATATTTATATTTGCTTTTCCTCCTATGCCTTTGTCTTTCTCTAGTGAAGGCCATTTATAATTGTTAGATTCTTTTTTTTCTGAACAGTTAATGATTTCTGGTTGGAAATTTCCAAGTGTGGGGCTGTCTGTAGAAAACCATGAAAGCTCTGTAAGTGAACACTCATCTTTTATCACCAGAAAGGTAAAAAGCAAACCATGTGTTTATTAAGACAAATATCAATAAATACACCTGTACCAAATTGAGTAATATTAGTTTGAAATAAAGAAAGGGGAATATGTCTTTAACTGGTACAAACATTTGTTGTTTCCAAGCTAGAGTCCCAAACTCTTATTTAAAATTAAGGATATTTAATTTTACGTATCTGTTATACTGTCCATGTACTGTGTGAATCAGACACCCAGTATTTTGTGAGTGGCTAAAAAGGGAAAGACACAGCAATGATTGATTCTTAATATATGTTTTTCCCCTATATTGCATTTATGTATTTTGTTTCGGTCTTAAGAATGATCCAGAGACTTTGCTGAAGTGCCTTACAATGTGTGCAGAGGTCCTGAAGCAGATGTCAAATGACAAAGGAATTGGTCCCACCATGAGTGGTCTACTGGAATCATTGGTATGTTTTGGGCATTGTAAGAAAATTACAGTTTTCTGTACAGAATTTTAAACTAGCAGTATTGAATGGGAAATACTGTGTATACTTATTTTGAAATAAAAATACAGTGAACTAAAATTGCAAATGGGTTTTAAACTGATTTTAAATACTCTTTTCCTTTAACATGAAAAGAAATGTATCTTGACTGTTAAGTAATTTTGATTTTTTTTCTTAGATTCTCCCAGGCATTGCTAATACACATCCAGCAGTACGTAATATGGCTGTTGTATGCCTGGGTACCTGTGCACTTCACAGCAAGGATTTAGCAAACAGACATCTCCTACTACTGTTACAGGTACTCATGAAGGGAAAGGTTTTCTGTATATCTGCTTGTGAGGGGGAAAATGTTAAATTATGTGCAAGCAAATGGTTTCTTTCTAAAACTATAATGCTGAAAAATGTGTTCTGTAATGAAATACAGTATATATTTATATACTCTTATTACTTGTTTTATTTTTAAATCCCAAATATTACTATATGCACTTTTATACTGGACAAGAAATCTGAATGAATTGAAAATAAATCTTTAAAAGGCTCATAAAACATCTTATGCCATGTTATTTTATGAGAATTATTCCACATATTCTTAAGGTATTTGTAATTAAAGGTTAATATGATTCCAGTGATGTTATCACCACAAGTTTGTAGTTTTTATCATTTGTGACTGTGCTTATGATTGGTCTTTTTTCCTTCAGATTGCTCAACTTGATGATCCTAAGATCAGGATAAGTGCTCTTAAAGCTGTGATTGACCAGCTCCTGTTGAATGGCATGGACGTTCTAAAAGGAAAGCCCTCAAGTCCTCAAAGTGACAATTCTGGCACAGGAAATGGGATTTCCAGTGAAGATCACGACAGTAGAGAAACAGCTAAGGAGGCTGAAGAAGAAAATACTGTTAATAACATTCTTTCATTACTTTCTGCATTTCTTGATAGTGAGGTATACATTCTTCTAAAGTCTTACATACTAATATAGATACTATACTGTACACAGTGTTTTAATTGGTCTTTAATCTACAGTTAATCAGAATTTCCTAATAGTTTTCCACTTATTTGCAGTATTAGTTCAATTTGATTGCTATTAGGTTTTAAGATAACATAAGGAGTTGCTTAAATAATGCTTTCTGTTTTGAAGATGTTTTTTTATTTATTATTTTTCAAGATCCCAGAGCTCAGAACTGAAACTGCTGAAGGTTTGGCTAAGCTGATGTTTTGTGGAAGACTCAGCAGTTCAAAGCTGCTTTCTCGCCTTGTGTTGATGTGGTACAATCCTGTGACTGAAGATGACACCCGGCTTCGGCACTGCCTTGGGGTGTTCTTTCCTCTGTATGCTTATGCAAGCAGGTATGGAAAATGGAATACATACAGTTTGCCATAGAGCTCTGGTGCTAAATATAACAAATGTGAAAAGTACATTTATCCATCTATAAACAGACTATGTTTAAAACTATGTAACGTAGTTTTAGAAGATGCTTTCTGGGTTAAAAATAAAAAAGAAAATGATTAGATTCTAAATTCTGTTTTCCATTACGGTTATATTAAATAATATGACTGATTGGTAGATACAGTAGAGTTTCAAGATACACATGGGTTTGGTGCAGAGAACCATTGCAAATATCCAAATTCGCATATAGCCAAGTCCATTCCTTGGAATGCTAAATTTAAAGATGTCGAGACTTCATTGTCTTACTGTTGTTCCTTATTGTATAATTTGTCTTATTTTTATATTCAATAGGTCAAATCAAGAATGCTTTGAGGAAAGTTTTCTCCCAACCATACAGACTTTGTTGAATGCACCTGCTTCTTCACCTTTAGCTGAAGTGGATATCGCAAATGTAGCAGAGTTGTTTGTTGACCTGACAAGACTCAGTGGATTAAATCACAACAAGAAAACAGTTTATCAAGTATGTCTTAAACTGTATTGCTTTGACTGAATTCATATTTTTATGAAAGAAGATTGTATTTTAAAATTGCCGAACCTAAAAAAGAAATTTAGGTGGAATAATTAGAATAGTAAAGTTACTCATTAAAATGTTTTGTGTATTTATACAGTATTTTGGTTTACAGTGTAGATCAAGTGCAAGTAGAAAATAATAGGCTGGGTGAGGGACAATATTGCAATTAGAAACTGTTAAGAGTCTACATACTGTAGATCAGTTCCCCTTTAGTGATAAATTGGGTGGATGTACAGCAATGTTTATCAGTTCGGTTCTGGTGCTTTTAAAATGGAAAGTCCTTTTTTGTTCATGGATCATAAATGAACATAAATACAAAAGTTACATATTCCCTATTTATAATAGTGCAGCTGCCTCTAACTGCTCCTCTGCTATGTGAAATCCACAGACAAATGAAGGTTGATTGCTTTGTAAAAAGCATCATGTAAATGCAGAAAATAATCATTAACATATAATCAAATAAACATTTACCAAAAGCAGTTGTTAAAAAACAGACACGTGCTTTAAAATGGGTTTATTTTTTGTTTATTGGTATTTTTCCAGCCATATTGTAAAAGAGAAATATAATTTATTTTTAGTCAGCATAAGTGGTTGATAAATCTCACAAATTAAGGCAAGGAGTCATGACATTTTTGGAAATTTTAAATCTTGTTATAAAATGTAAACATGAGTTCTAACATTTTTAGTATCACCTTTTCAGTGTTGGACAGTTGATATTAACTTTTCTCCTCTAAATCTTGCTAATCTCAGTTTTTGGAAACTAGCATCAGTGTTTATTTGAATATGCCATTGAACAGAAACTTCTGGATTATTTTGTTGAAATAAAATGTTCGTTGGAGTCTGAAAATATAACAAGATAAATGCTATCTTATAAAAGCCTTTATCAAAAATGTTTTTAAAACTCAGGTTTCAAAACATAATTGGGTTGCTCAGTGTTTTTATGTTTTTTCTCAAAGGGACTTACAGTTCATGACTGTTTAGCAGTTCGACTGTGTAATGAGATTTTAAAGGACCCAAGAGCCCCAGAAATCAGGCTGTATGCAAAGTGTTTGAGTTTACTAGAGCTTGATAATGAAGACCTGGAGTCCATCAAGGACTTGATGCTGCTTTTGGAAGAAGTCCTGCAGGTAAGAACTAGACATATCATAATAAGGAAATATTACCATATTGAATTTAAGTTTTGGACTTTCCAATACATTTTAACATGAGATGCATGCATTCCAGATGCTTGGTTCTTACAAATTCTGTAGTGTGTTACAGCAGAAAGAAAGCAATGAAGAGGTGTTATATAATGCTACCAGAGAGGAGAGTAAAAACACATGAAAGGTTACAAGGCTGTTTTGCTGATGGTAGCTAGTATGTAATTGATCCAAGGTTCTGGGAAGTGTTGGTACCACGGTTCTGAAGTGCAGGAACTCATCCAGCCTTGTTTCTGGAAAGAAGTCAAGGTGTCGTTTTAGCAATATAGTTTGGTAGCTAGCTCCACACTCCCACATCACTTTGGTTAAGGAAGTGCCTTCTGTTTCAGTCCTGGAAAAGACCTTCACCTTTTGACTCTGGTTTAATCAACATTTCTTAGCTTGTGTAATATTTTCTAGTTATGCAAACAGAATTTTGTTTCGGTAATGGCTTGCAAGAATGTTTGAGCCACACATTGTGATCCGTTTCAGACAGACCTTTTGCTTTACCAAGTTCATTGTGGCAAGATTTAGTGATGCAATTCTCTCTTAGTGATTCTTAAGCATGACATATTTTATGTCAGTTTTCTAAATGAGACCTTCTTTTAAAATTGCTTTCAACTCTTAAAACTTGTATTTATAATTGGTATATGAACCCTGTGCTAATGAGTGACTTTCAGGACTGCCCTCATTCAGATTTGTGAGCTGAAATAGAACAAATTGGACTTCGGCAGAAGGCAATACCCAGATTCACTGTGAGAGCTATCTGGCAGTATATATATCTGTCTATTCATCATCAGTTGATCACCTTTTAAACTGTTTACAGAAAAATAAGGGAGCAAAAAATACATAAAGTTCATTGTACTGAGTTGCTGGAAATATACTTCAACTAGAGTATTTTTAAAAGCACCAATTAACCCTGGTGATTATGGGATCAAGTGGAACAAAACCTAGCAGACCCAGGGAACCAATGTAGAACCAATGCTTTCATGTATTGGTACATATAGTTTTTGTTTGAATCACTGTTTTACAGATGTGTGGGTGATGGTTGGGTTGCAGTTTTTGTAGAAGCATCCCTGTTCAGAACTTTAAAAAATATTTTCTAGTGTCTGAAAGTAGTGTTGAAATTTTCTTTGTTCTTATTTCTAGGAGGTGAAGGATAAAGTATGTATAAAGGCAATTGAAAAGGTTATCCATCAGCTAAAACGAGAGACTAAGAGTAAGACTTCAGCTACTTCTAACCAGGATGCTGAGATTTCCACAATTCAAGGTGCAACAGAAAATGCAGAAGGTAATATTTGTGATATTTATAGGAATTCTTTTTAGGAAATTGCAAATATTTTTGCCAATAGCTTTTTGTTTGCATTTGTTTGGTTTGTCACTAACTTGTGACTAAACAGCTGTGAAGCGAATGGTAATGTGATAAGTTACTGTTTATTGTTATTTTAGTGGGCATTAACAGAATCTTACATTGACTTGCAGCAATAAACTCTTAATATTAATATAAGGCTAAAGGAGGTAGAAATATTTTACTTTTTGCTCCATTCTTTTGATTTTTAAGTTTTGTGATTGTTTTGCATTAAGGATGCTTCAGAAAGCTTTGGCCCATATGTGCTCTTATACCCTGTTTCCCGTATATGGACATAAACATGAGCCAGCCCCTTTTCTTTGACCGTCCTTTGTTGCCATTTAATTTTGGAAGATATCAAATTTAAATGAAGTTCTTGAATTTACATAGCATCTTTCATCCCAAAACACTCACCAATAAAATGTATTCACTAGTTACAGGGGAAATATAGGGTGTAGACTAGAATTGTGCTTGGTGTGTAATCTAAATCGAACACTGGAGTTAACACCCTAATTCTTTCAAAAGTGCCTCCTTCCAATTCCTTCGAAAGAAGTCCTTCAGGATAAAGTAATTGGAATCATGGACTGGATGTCCTAGGACCTCTAGACCTTGCATAAGAGTAACGAAGGCTAGCACCTTCTACAGGAGTATCCACAGTCATACTGGGGCATTGGCTTAGACATTTGATCAAATGAAATCTAACCCCTGTGAAACTTACATGAAGACTTAAAATTTTGAAGACAATGATAAAGCACAATTGGTTTGTATATGGATTTTAAGAATGTAACTGACCTGTATAGTACCAAACCATTTTTCCAACATAAATGGCTATTGGAAACCAACACCCAGCCCTAATACCGAAAATCTTACAAGCACGTTTTTCTGCTGTGGTATTACTTAACGGCATGCTAGTGTTTAGCTTTTTAACTATTTGGACAACTACATGGCAAATTTAAATGTAAGAAAACACACAATGAGGTGGTTTTGTTGGACCTGCAACAAAATGAGGTTGGATTTCTTGTCATTTAGCAATTTTTGGTCAAGGATGTCAAACGTAATACATGCTCTAATTGCTAAATCAGTAAAATGATATTGCCTTTTTAAGCCTGGACAGACATATCTACAATTTTCCTGCAATTAAATCAATTATTAATCTTGAGTTTCGGTTGAACTATTAATTGGATCTATTTTTTCATACCTTGAGTTTGAATTAAAATCCATATAGAAAGTGGGTTTTTTTATAATACTTGATACTGTTTATGAAATCTATTCATATTTAAGATCCAATTTTCTAGAACACATTACTGTAGGTCTCCAGGTAGTTCATTGTACATTTTTTATTTTTAAAATGTTTGTTTTTCTTATTACATTGTATACAATTAAAAAAAATATTACACTATTTTCACCATAGGTGGTGAGAATGATGGAGAGCAGCTGAAGAGTGCCAAAAAGGCTAAAAGAGGTAAGCTTTTTAGCTTCTATAAAACAAAATGCATCCGCACACCTTAATTGTACTTTATGTATTTTCTCTTGTTGGTTCTCTTGAGACTGTCTAATTTTACATGACCATTTTTGTGTTTTGTGTTCGTCATGGCCTAACAAGGGGCTGACTGAATATGCAAGAACAGGTTGCAGGAGGTGTATAGACATCTGGATATCCTTATTAAGGAGTATAGTGAAGTGACTGAAAAACATGGTAATACTTAGTTTTTCATTCCACAGAGGGCTCTTAAATAGTCCATTTGTAACTTATTTGCTCCTATAATTTTTTGGAGAACATTATAATATGTTACTGTAACAAAATTATTTGGATCTGTTAAGCCATGCACATTCTAAATGTAGTGAAATCAGTTGTTTTTTCTTGAGTGTAGAAATACAGTAAAGCGCGGAAATACTTGAGAAGCTTGTCTAAATTCTTCATTGGTTTAGCACCTACTGGGGTATCAGGGAACAGTTTGTAAATAGTCATTTGTATATGTGATGTAGCTTGTATTTGGGGAGTTCCATAGGGGTCTGTGCTGGGTCCTTTAAGAGTTTACATATTGCTTCTTGGACTTATCATAATGAAGCACTTGCATTTCACTGCTATGCTGATGATTTAGATTTGTCTGCAGACCAGATATTGATACAACGGCAGTTTCTGAACTTTACAGGTATCTATCTGATTTTTAGATGGAACTGAACATAAAGCTAAACTGTGACAGGTCTGAATATATTCATAGGCCTCCAAACATCAGCTTCACAAAGTTGCTAACATTAGTGTTGCTGACAGGACTGAAATCAGACCTTTGATAGATGTTAGAAGCCTTAGTTTTACTGTTCAGTGTCATCATTTCATTAGGTTTGGTACAGTATGTCTTTCTCCTTAACAATGCTCATTAAGACCCTTACTATGTTGATGCTGAAATATCGATGCATGTATTGATTTAATCAAGAATAATCTATTGTAATACTTTAGTTCTTGGGCTCCACACTGGTGTTACGACCCCAAGTGTCTAGGGGTAAAGGGGTGTAACATTTAGGATAATTTGTTGGAAGCAGGTGAGTTCTGGTGAGGGACTAGGAAGCGTGATAACAAGGGTTGGTGCAAAAAGTGATAATTTTAAGGTGAATAAGTGACAGGTACAAAATAAGACACAATAACACACAGGGGTAGGGAACTAGAGTGGTGCCAAAGAAAAAAAATAACGAACAAAATGGAGCTGGCTAAGAAAGTAAAAGAAAACCTGAAACACTTGGTCTTCGGCGTCTTCAACACCCTAGCTTACCTCCACTGACTACCCAAAACCATACAAGACAAAGGGAACTCACCCGTACTAAACTAGTGTGACTAATAAAAGAATCAACTACATGTGTGCAAAATGAACCTAATAACCTGAACTAATGTGACATGTGTGAAATACACAAAAGTTCACACAAATACACTAATGAACTACAAATAAAACGAGAGTAGAAAAGTAACAGGGTACAAAAGAACAGAGGTTGATACAATAACAAGTTTGGGCAAGTTAATGGCAAAATAAGGATAACACAAACAAACGAAAGTACAAAGAGACAAACAGAAACCAACAGAACAAAGCCGAAGCTATACAAAAACACACACACAAAGCAAAACAACAAACCAACAAAGCCAAAGCAAAACCAGAAGCAAAGCGAAAAGCGAAGCCAAGCGGGACTGAAGTCAAACATAAGGCCTCTCCCTTCTGAAAACCTCCATGTCATATACTGAATAAGATGCACTCTGATTGGCTGAGAAGCTGATGGATGATGATGTCATACAGAAACAGGGGTGTTATGGTGGGCCAATGGGGGAGGGAGAACAATCAAAGTCAGAAGTGTGGAACAATACAACAACACACACAGACCACACACTGGGACGCAACACCCCCACCCATAAAAACAAACATCTAATGTTTGGACAAAGCGAAAACAAAACCATTCAAACAATAGGCTATACACGACCCCCAGCCAGGTCATTAAATTAGATTTTCTTTTGATTGTTTATCCTGTACTGTTGAATAGTGCTTGCTTTGAGGTGAACATGGTGATATTATAATTGTTATCATCACCACCATGGCAAACTGTCTCTTTTTAAAAGTTTTATGTTACTGTTAATTTTGGAAAAAACATGACTGAACTTTAAAGCTTGTTATTCACATCTGGTTTGATAAAAGTGCTGTTTTATCAGTTTTAAAAGTGCTTTAAAGTTATATTTTTCTTGATGCTCCTTTTCAATTTTGGTAACTGTAATTCTGGAACTCCAGGACAGAAAAAGGTTTCCACAACGGGTACGTCCTCAAGAAGAACACGCAAGGCAAATGAAGCTTCTGATGAAAGGTAATGCATTTGATTTTTTTAAAATAGCTTTCACTTACATTCATTTTAACTAAGGTTAACCTCATAAAAAGGTATTCTAATATTTCATTACAAATTCATACATTTTTGGTGAAAAATTTTATTTTAAATAATGCCTTCATGGCAAAACCTTTTTTTTGTACAACTTTGTACAACAATTGTTGATGTGTTATTGCAGAAGCTGTTGGTTGTTGGTATTTATAGACGTAAAGAACATTTGTTCCTTTTATAATTGTATTTTAGAAAACATAAATCATACCACATATGTTCTGGTTTGTTACTAATTTACTGAAGACATTTGCTATTTTACACAACACTGGTATTCCCTAGTGATTATATTTTAATTCATTTTACATTTATATAAAGTGCTCTTAATACAAAATTAAAAAATTCAGTAGTAAGATTTCTTACAACTGTAAGAAACATGCGTACTAGTGAGTTTTAATTTGCTTCCTGTTTACTTTTAGACTTAATTTTTCCTTTGAATCCTCAAAAGTAAGCCTTGTAAAAATGACCTGGTTCACTTAACCTTTGAACAACTTAAAATCTATTTTTTTATCTTTAATCTCAATATTTCATTTTTTGTTAACTTGTACTCTTCGTCTGCTTGTACTGAATTTCACTCTATTATATTTCTTCGCAATAAACTATTCCTAGCTTAATTAGATCACTCTTTACTTAACTGTACAACTCAATTATGAAATTGACTCTACTTAGTACAAATAATGTAAATTGCTTTGGTTAAAGGTATCAGCTAAATAAAAGTAGATGTATTCAAAGATAAAAACACATTTGCAAAGCTATGATTTTGTTACACTTTGAAATTAATGAAAATCATGATGTATTTCTGTTTCTTCAGTGATGGAGAAGAGTTGGCTGGAGTTCATGAAGTAGTTACCAGGCCCTCCAGAAGAGCAAAGGCATTAGCATTGGAAAAAACAAAGAAGGATCTTACTGCTCTGATGAATAGAGAAGCAAATGGAGTTTAACAGTCCAGATAATCAATATATTTTTCAGTCTGCATTTTTTCTCATTACATGTCTTTTAACACAGCTTTTAAAGGATTAAAAAATAAAGTTGATTTAACCAGTGAAGTGAACTGAATTTATTTAGAATATAGACAAATCTGAGTAAATGTACAACAGGAACATCCCACTTTGGATTAACACCCCTACCCATTATTCTACACCGCTATACCAAATTACTACTTGGTATGTCTTCATTAAGAAACAAGAAAAACCCCAAAACATGTTAAACAAAATCTTTATTCTTCTACTGACACTACCTTGTTACAAGCTTTTCTGTAAAGTCATGTATAAAAACATAAATATAACTTTTAGGATGAAGAAAACATAGCACCAGGCATTAACAAACCTCACAGGCATTCATGGTTACGATGCATCTTACAACATCTACGTTTTATTAGAAAACAAATACAGCAGAACTAAACACAGGCAACATACTAATAAATAGGTTAAATAATTGATTTTTCCTTTTTTCTTGTTGAACGTTCAATATGTTGAATAGTAGTAGATTGTTTTCAAAAGTAGATAATTAAAAAGGGGGTTCTAAGTAACTGAAGCCTGCTAAAATGTCACCTGGATTGAAAGAATAAGAAAACTCCAAGACAAAATAAAGAAATACAGGAGTATTTACAGAGAACAACAGAGCTGCCCCTGACTGTAAACAGTTATATACCTACTGTATAGAGTGTTAAATGGCTGCAGTAAATATTTGTACCACTTTACTAATCATTTGATACATTAATGTTTGAGAAAAAATAAGAGTTGTTGAGGAATAATTTTAATATATTGCAAAATGACAAGATAAACCAAGGATTTTTTTGCATGGTTATATATCTAAAATTGAATAAGCACATTTTTGCCATAATCTTTATAAAGATTTAGAATTTTGAAATGTTATTTCTTTGCGGACTTAACCATCAAAGGGTATGCGATATGTTGGGCTTTTTCAATATTTCAGACCTTGTAACCATCATGGTATTTTTACACAATATAAAGATGAAACGTGCCGGATCAGTACAATCCTTGCATGTCCTTGGTGATTTTGAATGACCAGCAATTTTCATTATAATACCTAAAGATGCTGTTGAAGCCACTTTAGTAAGCCAAATTAGAGAATTAAGGCTCAGAACACAGGCTCATTATAAAAGTTCCATCAGATAAGTAATTTTACAGCAGTTGTGTTAGGCTAAGGAAACAATCATAGAATGTTTCAAATAACAAAATGAAAGCATGAAAAATTTATTATTTCTCCACTGCAAGATTGTTCATTTAAATTTATTAGAGTTAAATAAGCTGTGTTCTTGCTCAGCATTCCCTCACAGGTGGGACTGGATATTGATTTTGTTGTTCACCATGCATTTTAAACAAGTACAAATATTTATTGCAACCATTCATTTAGTCAAAGGGTGCTTCCTTTTCAACACAGTTACAATCCCTGAGGATTCCGCTTGGCAGATGTTTCAAAAAGGGAAAAATAAACAAATAGTGCATCCACATTTCCAGCCTAATCACTTCACCCTTTAAAGACCACAGTGTAACAAGCTTTCATTCCCAAAGGATTCCTGGGTTATTGCTGCATAAAATATCTGCAGTTATACATGGTTCAGGATTTTGCAGAACTAGTTGCTATCAACCTTTAACTCCAATTCCACTTTCACCCTTCAAAGCACTGGGAATCTCTTCAAAACTATACATAACCATGTGTAAAAAAGTAAATGCTTCATAGAAAAGCTGCAAATTAAAACTCATTCAGAAGCTACATAAGCTTTCAAAGTAAAACCAGTGGAAGATAAAACCATGCAAAATTACTCTGTGCAAGAGAATTTACCAATCGGCAGTGTCTGCTAAATAAATTCAAAGAACACTGGTAATGCTGCCGCCTAGTTTTTTTTAATTGATTTGTAGGGACAGCAGTGACTGCTCAAACAAGTTGGTCTTTAAACTTAAACTTAAAGGGCTAGCAAGCAAGGATTTACTAACAGTATACCAAGGTATTCAATAACAGACGCTTTCCCTGTATTTAACCTAATTTAAAATGAAAAGGAACAGCAGTGCTAATATAAAGCTTCTAAAACTGGAGTAAGATGTTATTTCTAAGGGGTGGCATGATGTTCCACCTAGTTTTGCAAAATCCCCACTTATGTACAAAGTATTAAGCTAGCAGTCAGCAAATGCAAATGACTTTAATCTACCTTCTAGGTTAAAGACATCATAGGCAATGTCATTTGATGTTTATTAAACTCATACTGTATATCATAGTAGACCTATAGATTCTCCTACAGTTAATGCATACATTGTGTACTCCTGGACAAAAACCAATACCATTTGACATTGGAAATCAAGAATCAACAGACTGCTGCCATTGTTTCAGAGATATGGAGAAAAAATGAATCTTAAAAGCAAACAAATATTTGCAGTCTCAGTTAAGTAAAAAATAAAAGAATTTACAGTAAAATCACTGGCATATGTATATTCTTCAACTACATTCAGATAATATGTGGTATTAAAAACCATAAAGTGGCGTAATGCTTTGGAAAAAAAATAATTTCCCTAAATTTGAAGTTCCTTAAATTAGTATATTTTTATCCTCTGGGTCAGACGTTGCCTTATCCAATAGCTGGTTTTGAAATTATTTTCAAATTTAAGGAACACTTGAGATTTTTTAAATATTTTGTATCTATTTTAAATGTAGTGTAAAGAATTTTCTTTGTTTTACAGTTTTTAACTTTAACTCTAATCCAGTAATATTGATGGTAATGCTTGGTATTTTCTTTTATTTCATGTTATTTATGTTATTTCATGTTGAATAAATTAAGACAAAGTAATTCACATTTCCAACGAACAATGTCTGTGAATAAGACCAGAAACAAAGAGAGCCAACACTTCAAGGTTGAGCTTTTCATTGTCATGCTACATACAGATTTCAGAATTTCAGAATTCATCAATGCAATATCAGAATTTAACGTGAACTTTTCATCCATTCATTTGAAGGCTGGAAATTCCAGGAACCACACGATGTGAAATTTGTATTTTAAGGTGCCATATTTTGTACAAGAGGTAGGTGTTATTTTATATTGCAAAAAAAAACAACAATATGGGATTCAAAGACGTACTAACCACTTCATAAAACACATTAAAGCTTCGTTACACATTAAAGAGCAACGTTACAGTAAATGCAAGTATAATTAATGATTGCTTCAGAAGAGGAAAAACTCAAAAACATCTATAAAAAAGCTTTACTAATAATGCTATATTCCATTTACTATGTAAATGTCTCTTTACATATATTGCTTCTATGTTACAAAGAATATCTTTAATGCAGAAATTGTTGGTACAGACATCCAGGTGTTAAATTTGGGTTTCAAAAGTTTATGAATGGTTTTATTAATTTTATGATCACACAACTACATTCTAACCTTGAAAAATGTTCCTCAGTAATAACAATACACAGAAAATCTAAATGGAATATCTGTATCTCATTGTGTTGCCACAATAGTTTAAATGTATGTAAGTTTTCTTTACATTTTTCTTACATTGAAATGCTTTTAACAAAAACCACTGCCTTGAACCTACAGATGCTTTGGTGTCTTAAAAAAAAAACGGCTGAACTGAACGAGATCCTCAGATCGATTAACTACTATGAAGAGTAGAAGCCTGATGGGCTTCTGAATGGCTTACTGTTTGTGAACTTCGTAATGTTCTTTCAAAAAGCCAGCTTGCACTGAGCTACATCAAGTAAATAAGTGCACTGGACTTTATAGGTTTCAGAACTTGAAGAATGAAAAGAAAAATACACACTACTCAAACAGCAACACAAACAAATATGGACACTGTTTCCTCTTAAAAGACATTTTTACCATTTAGGACTTTTGCTTACAAATAGAACCTCAAATATAATAACCTATTAAATAGGATAAGAGAGGAACTAATGGAAAAGAAAACATACAAAATAGTGCAACCACTTAGTTATTGTGTTCTATTTTCAGTCATTTTTCATTTCAACTACAAAGATGCTTACTGAGATACTGCTGCTGGGTTACTCAGTCAATTGACTGAATGAGAAGGCACATTGCATTAAAGACTAATTCACATATGCAGCTCTTCTCTTCTCATGGAGAGGAGTGATCCCATTAACTTATTTGGAGTTTTCTACAAAGCAAAAGAGATTTGTATTAAAAAAAGGAAAACACCAAGTTCCAAGTCTTCTTTTACCTCAGAAAATATATTTCCTTTTGACCTTAAATATTTGAAGTCATTATGTAATGGAATTTTTTGGACAACATTAATCCAAGTTCTTATCTAACCTACCTGGGTACCTGCAAAGAAAGGGTTGCTGAAGCCCTGGGTATTTCTTCTCCTTCACCACTGCATCAGTTACTCACCTGACATGTGATGCACGAGTTTATAATGGTTCAGCAATGGAGGCTTAGAAATTATATACGATACCATTTAATATAATATATAACAAAAATCTGCATATTCCCAATCTTCCATGCAAAAAGCTGCAACTGATTTTGTCATCACTTAGGAAACATGAGTCATTTTGGAATATGTTTATCAGGTGTCTCTTTGTTATACCACCTGTGAGTTACAATTAGTATGAGTTTGTTATATGAGAGCAGAGTATGAAACCAAAACATTAACAAATGTAAACAAATTATTAAAATACAACTTTACTGTGTTTTTGAAATTAGTTCCTGCTTAGTACAGCAGCTGCATCAGTGAAAAGCCTGAAGGAAACCAGCTTAGGAAGAAACTGAGCACAATGGAAGACTTAACTATAAAAACATTGATAAGTGTTTTTTACTCAGAAGATATAATACCAAAGACGACTAAAAGCAAGGTGTTTTTCTTACGTTTCTTCATTACTTGTATCTTACATAAATTAAACTGAAGATTTATGGAACTAAAAGAATCCAATGAATTGATACATTTACACACATCTTAAGAATAAATGTAAATATTATAAGGATGAATTAGGGCATTTTACTTTATGAGTTATGAGTTTGTGCCCACAGTTGTACACAACTATGAAATATAAACAGACAACATCCTTACTAAAAATACATATATTTATATGTATTTTTGTATCTTTATATGTATCACGGGGTCAATAAAGTATCTATCTTTATTTATATTTATGTATTTATACATATTATAGATACTTATATTAAATACATAGATATTTAATAGAGATATCTATGCATGTAGCTGCTGAATTGTCTGTACATATATAGTAATAAAAAATATGAAGAATAACTTAGTGATGCTAGTTTTGCACACATAAGCAATGTGTTTTCTTACCTAGCACAAAAGCAGAACAATTCCTGCTTGATGGCCATCCATTCACAGATTGTCTCTTTCTTTTTGCATCTTCTGTCCCATGCGTGCAAACATTTGCTCTTTTTCTTGTTACCATCCATTGCTGTTTTCCAGTTTCGGTGTTACCAATGGATTCCTTGTCATCACGTTGCTCATCAGTGGACTGCATGTTCACAAACAATTTCCTTGGTGAATACCTAGTTCTTTCAGGCCTGTCTATTCTGACAGTATTCTTGATTTCATTTTTGCTTGCTTTGTCTTCTCTCTCTTTACCTGTAGGCAAGATACTGTTTGCAGAGGATAAAACATCATATAGCTTCACTGTGCAAAAATTACATTCTTCAATTGCACTTTTCATTTGACTGCATTCAGATTTATCAAGGTCACTGAAAATGGAATTTTCTGCTAAAATGTCATTTTCATTGTGTTTTATTTTTTCTGGAGAGTTAATTTTTGTGAGGAATACTCGACATTCCTTTATGTTTTCTGGGCTCCATGGACTTGCACAGGCTTTCTCTTCAGAGTTCTGGACAGTATTAGTCCCTCTCTGAATTTTTTGAGGCTGGGGGGCTGTCAAGTCATGTTCTCTAGTTTGCGCAAACAAGCTCAGTGTTTGAGTTCCATTCTCCACAGAAGAAAGTGACTTTTCTTTCATTGGATGAAAGAAATTTGTAGGAATGTCTTTGTTTTCATGAAAAGAATCAGAAGAAACTTCATTCAATGGAACAGCGAGAATGCTGTCATGCCTTTTTTTTAGCCTCTTAAGCACTTGCTTTCTGCAAAATTTGGATTTATTTCTCCAAGAAATATTTGCATATGTTCCCAACCTCCTGCCTCTGTATCGCAGTTTACTTCGGTGGAAGGGTAGCAATTCAATGGGTGTTAATTTTGGTAATGAAAGCCTTCTCTTGACACATAGTCTTCTGGCCCTGTGCATCCTTTCTTGTGCTTCAAAATGTTTTGCTGGACTCTTAGGACATGCCTGGGCAAATTTTTTCACATGCTTTCTCAAACGGTCTGCTTGAGGGCTAGGGCAGACATCAACACTGTTTGTGTTTCTGTTAGGATTGTACTGAACAATTTCATAAGGATTTCGAGCATTTGCTTTTTTCACTATTGCCAAAGACTGGGTCTCTGTAGTTTGCATGAACCAAGCACACAGTTTATCCATATTGCAATGTGTTTGAAAAAGCATTTTTACAGCAGAACCTGGATAATTTGGTTGGTCATTTTTTGTTGCAGCCCTTGTTCTTCCTTGGAGAGATGTTTCTTTTTCTCTTTGAAGCTTCCTCTCTGGTTCAGTCCCAACCGAGAGCCAGCTATCTGTAATCTGCTGAATCCTCCTGTTCAGCTCCTCACATAATGTAGTAACTGAAGCGGACGTAGGCCACCACTTGAGAGATTCATTTGATGTGAAAATTGAGTCTACCGACACTTCATTTGTTTTTGTGTTCCCTGAAAGTACATTTTCTGATGGTTCTTTTCTTGGCTTTTCAAGGTTTGGCAACTTTTTTGGAGGAGACTCATTGCTAAGTTTGTTTAAAAGTAGTTTTCGAGATCTACGTAACAAGGCGTTGCTATGAGTAAATGCATTAGATGTAGCCACTGAGTGCAATAAATGGATTGAAGGTTTTCTCACTCTCACGGAATGCCTAAGTGGCATCAGAGAGTTCTTTTTGTTCATTTCTTTGTCATCTGGATTTTCAGAACTCCCTATATGAGAGCCACCTGAAGATGATTTGATAGTCTTTGACATTTTGTGAGTTTCACTATCATCTGCAAGACACAGCTTTACCTGTTGCGATGACTCACCAAGGAATTCTGGAAGGTCTTTGCTAATTCGAACCTTTCTTTGCTTTGGGGACACTGTGTTAACAGTTACAGATATACCTGAAATTTTAACCTTTGGAGGTCTCCCTGGTTTTCTTAATGATGCTGTTGACTTCTCCTTTTGACATTTAATGTGGCTACGATGGTGAGGTGCAGAATTCTTGTCTTTCACAGGTCTAACAAAGTTAAAACGGTCAGGTGAATCAGGAGACTTGTTTAACTCTTCTATGTTCCCTTTTGAATCACTGTTATTTTTGTGGTTATTTCTACATTCATTTTCTAATTCTGCATGGTTTCCATGGTGGTCCTTTCCAAAATGTTCTCCTCCTTCAGACACAAGTCTCTTTATTCTTCTTGATCTCCCGTACACTACAGTAACTTGGATGTTTTTGCTTTCACATTCCTCCTCCCCCTTTGGTGACTGAGATGCACTGATCTTATTGACAGCATGAGAATCGCTCGTAGTAGAACTCTCTGCTTTATGTTTGGGTGGTCTGCCAATTGGCCTTTTCACTTGCTTTTCAATTTGTGGACCAAGTTTTTTTGGCCGACCCGGCTTTCTTTTCAGAGGAAAGTCTTCATTTGCCACTTCAAGTTTCAGAGAATTTGTAGTTTCTTTTTGATCGTCACACTCGTCTTCACTTAAATTTCCAGACAATGACCTTAAGAGATCTGTAACACCATCTTTTTTAATGTCTTCCCCATCACAAACATTCACACAAATCTGTGGTTCAACATCTTTAGTGCTCTCTAATTGTCTGGATGAAGTTTGTAATGTTCCATTTACTGCAGAATACTCACAAGGGTCAAACATTTCACCTTGAATGCCAGAGTCAGAAATGGCTGATTTAAGTGTGTACTTTACTCCATCATTGCTACTAACAGGAGATACAAACATCAGCCGTATCGGACTAGCATACTGAGAAATACGCTTCTTTTCAATGGACACCGACATAGTTTTGTTGTTGGGCGAAATGGTTCTGGATAAATTCTCTGGACATTCACAGTGCATGCAGGAATCTGAACTGTCCCAGCTACGACAGACAGAAGACCTCAGCCATACTGATGATCTAGGAAAAACTTCACTCAGATGCCTTTTCCGTCCCTGAGAATTGTGTTGCACTTCACCCTCTTCACCACCCTTTTTGTGCACAGTTTTTGAGTCTTGTGCTGTACCTGAAATGCTCCTTGAACCCCCAGCTTTATTCTGACATGCAGATTTCTTACAAAGATTCACAGGTACATTAACTTTCTGCCTCACATTTTCAGACATAACAGGATTGGACGTTTTCTTCAGGGCGTCTGGTTCTGTTAAAGCTTCTTTTCTAGAATGGTTTAGTTCTACATTTCCACTGGATTCTGGAGATCTGTCAGCTTTTGGAGATCTACGATTAAAAATATTTTCTGAAAAGCAGGCAGCAAAGCACATCTTTCGAGGCTCTGTCACATACAACGAAAATCTTTGTGGAGGAACTATGTTTCTTCTAGATCTCCCTGCACCACTAGAACTGTTAGGCTGTGAAAGACTCACTGTGTTGACAGGGCCTTGTTCTTCTGCTTTTGCAATCTTTCTTTTACTTGGTATTTGAAAGATTTCTCCAGAGTCAACAGGCTTATTTCTTGTATTCAATATAGTTGAGTCATTTTCTTCCTGAATGTTCATAGTTTTATGATGCATCTCTTGCAGAAGCTGCTCATTGCTTTCTGTTTGAGAGGTAAGACTTTGACCGTCACAAGGGGGTTGTGCCTTTCCAGAATCTGTACTATTCAAAATACTCTCAGTTTCTGAAGTTAAAGGCAATGGTTCCATGCTGGAGGAATGTGTAACATCATTAATCTGGTTATTTTTTTTCCAGCTTCTTTCCAAGGATAAATTTCTTCTAAAGAAAGACTGATCCAGGCTAGCAATTTCTCTTTTGATTTGCAAAGTCTGACGGCGTGATGAAGGCGAATCTGGAGACTGGTGTATTGCAATCAGAGTTTCCTGTCTTCTCCGAAAACGTGTTTGAATAGTTTTACTCTCAATGTTGGTCTCATGTTGATGAAGGAGCTCTTTTAAGTTATAATCTGGGTCATTATCATGGTGTAAAATTGCAGTTATAATTTCTCCCAGGTGAGTGTCATTACTGCACTCTAGGCTTTGGTGAGTGTTCAAACTTGTTAGACTTGGCTCTTTTTCCAGTTGTTCAATTGTTTTCAGTTTCTCATTTATTCTCTCCATTATATCTTGAATCAAAATACCACTTGGAGATTGTTCAAAATGTTTCTCAGGGGTACAACATCCAGTGTCCTTCTCATTATGTGCCTGAATTTGAGTCTCACAAAAGCTACCATTTGTTTCTATTGTAGATGTATCTTCATTTGATGGGACACTATCATCCTGCTGATGTCGTAAAAGAGATGGAGGATGGTTATTCGACGTTTTGCTATTTACTGCTGGGTGAACAGTACTCTTATCTTCACTTTTGTCATTGCTTTCATTTGTTATTGGTGACAATGGTGGAGGAGAGGGGCTAGAACCCCTATTACTGGAATCATATAAGTCACAAACTTTCTGAGTAGGAATAAGGGAGCTTGGTCCATTTTGAGCAGAACTAAAGCATGGACAATCATAATTCTGGTAAGAACATGGACATCTCTGATGACTGTAACAACTGCAACTACTGTGACTTACAATTTTGTTAATGCAACCAACAGCTGTACTTTGGCATGACAGGCACTGTAAATTTTTCAGGCAGATGCAAAGTGGATGTACAGGGTATGTATTTAGCCTACAAGATTGAACACAACACCCGTTTGAGATTTTGCATTCACCAAAATTGTACACATCTTGATGGGATTCCTTTCCCAAATGATAGCACAAGGTTTCTGTATATGGAAAATGTCTGTGGACATCTTTATACTGAGTAGATGAAATGCTGTAATCTTCATGTATACACCTCAAAATACTGTAAAGCAGCTTCTTATGGTATAGGCACAACGATGAAAGAACCATTTCCAGTGCAGTACTCCTTATTCCCACGTTTTCATCTCTGCTTTGCAAGGGTAGCTGTGGATCAACATCAGCTGGAACCTGGGAGCTACATACAAAATAAATAAATATATCAACAATGAAATACAATAATGAACTGCATTACAGAAGCTCTAGAAGTGGCATGTCTGCTGGAACTTTTCAGCTCAAACGTTTTCTTTTAAATTTTCTTTGTGAAGTTTAACCATAAGCTGTACTTAGGCCCATTTTAAAGCAGTTTAAAAGGCCCATTATTTTGCTAAAAATAGTTAAATATGCTGTTAGAGTAAACCATAATCCATTATGCAATTTGAAAATTAGTTCTCATCTCGCTTAAAAATATTCAGCATAGTGTTCCTCAAGAGCAGTCATGGAACTTATTTAGAAGTTTCTTCACTGTTCCAGGATGGCAGCAGTAAAACAAGAATGAAGGGCATTTATACAATATTAATCATCACCATCAAAGGTTGTCTCCTTTGGGAAAAGAGAATGGACAGGAACAAAGCACAGCGTTGAACTCGGTTCCAGGTAAACCTATATGGTTAATATCTGGTTACATTGATGAACTTTTGCAATATACTTTTTATCCATTGGAGGAGTACAGTGCCCATGAAAAATAAGTACAGTATATAACAAAAGTACCTCACAAAAATAGATTTCATTTAAAATATTAACACTTCTCATTAAAATGTTTTCCTTTGTGGCAGATTAGCTTTAATAGACTAACCTTCAATCTCTTTGGGTCTACTTCTATAGACAGTATAAATCAGAGGTGGTGAACTTGTTTGCTACGCAGGGCCAGATTTATTTAAATGTACTTCGAACAGGTCATACATACCATAGAATTAACAAAATACAAGGCCCTTAAATGCCACTAATTAGTTTTCAATTGAAGTGTTTTACATTTTTTCTGTTTATTTTATAAGATACCTAATTTCAAAATGCAATTAGTAGTCACCATATCTTAAACCTTACTCATTAACTTGGAATATGAGATTTTTTAACATTATTTTCTTGGAATTATTTAAAAGTATAATAATCGTAATTTCTGCACAAATTGCTGATTGCTTCAAAAGAATGTCAGAACATCTTAGTACCGAGGCAAAAATAAATGTGAATCATATATAGGGATGTTGCATGATAAAAATGTGAAAATGCAATATTTGCTAGATATCAGCAATAAATTCATTCCTACAATTACAGATTTTGCTCCTGGGCAACCGTTTTCAGTTATACAGCTTGTGTACAAACTAAACTTGTCAGCAATTAAAACTCTCCACATGTCTTGAACAGTTCTATTTCTTTTAATGATTACAAGGCTTTTATTACCATGGCCAAAAATATCCTTTGAGATCATAATATAACCCATCTGGTACAGTTCCAAGTGAGTTAGATACAGGCTGGTGGTTAAGGCACTGAGGTTTCTTCAAACTTTGGAAGAGTGTAGAGGACGTGTGTGCATGTCTTACTTTCTTACTTCCTACTTTTTGAGCAAAACGTCCCAGTGACGCCCCTGTCACTGGTATAAGTGGACAGTGGCTGCCTGTAGTAATGACAATTTGCCTGCTAAGTGACACTTATCAAGAATATCAAAAGTAACAATTGGCACGAGAACACAAATTAAGAATACCACAGATATTTTATACGTAAAAAATAAGGAAATCTTTTACTAATTTGTCTATTGGGAGTTTTAAGACTCACTCCGTATTTTCAAAACTGCTTGAAATGGTCACGGGTAGAAATAAGAGTGAAGAAGTAACCAAGCCTCTTGTGAAGTATCCCTAATGAAAACATTTTCTCACTTAAACACAGCATTCCATTCCTTCATAAAATATACATTAAAATGTTTTAAGTTATATTAATATTGACATATTTAAGCATACGTTACTGTCACTAGATAACTGTAATGAGTAATTCACTTTATAGCACATTTCAACGTAAAGGGCCACAAAGTGCTAAAGAGTACGTATCGGAAGTGAGCAAAATAATTCATCACTGAAACGCCACATCCAGCTGTGTGAGATGCAAAGATCAAAGTTCAAGCTCTCATACATAACTGTTCAAATAGGTAGCTGCGTCAGCATGTGTAGGCTGTAAAGGAACAAGTAAAGGTTTATTCAATGCTGAAAATAAAAGAATATTTTGGCTGTTGAGCCTTCTTCACACCTGAAGAAGGCTTCACAGCATGAAATGTTGGGTCTCTTCTTTTCATCATGGAATAAACTTTACTTGTTCTTCTACATAAAACTGTACTTTCTACAGCAGTGTCCACATTCGTCATTCTGGAGCATTGGAAATTTCAGTCCAGAGGTAAGACTGCCATCTCCTGGTCCAACAACACCCGTTACAGCAGTAAGTTGGCTTTCCTTGGAGATCTCTCATCCCATACTGGGATGTCAAACTGACTAGGCTGAGGTATGCTTAGATTGTAAGATCTGATTAAATCAGACTAGAAGGCAGTATCACTGTTGTCATAATGGACTACTTGGAAAAAGTAAGAAAACTTTGACAACCTCCACCACTAACACATTTGCTGTTATTTTCCAAACATCCAACACACTGCATATCATATATCCTACACAGTAGGTTTCATTTAAATATTGATCCTTTTTTTTTCCTGAAAACAAATCTGTTAAATCTGATGTTTCAAATATGTTCCACTTGAACCAGTCCTCTTCATGTGCATAAGCACAGAACTGCCAAGAGTTTATTTCCAGTCAGGAGCAAACTTTCACAACTCACACCAATTGTAACCTTCCACAGTTATAACAAGTATAAAATAAAACTGCATAACAAACTACAAAAAAGTTACCTTCAATTAATAAGGGACTACAGTGCCTTCAGAAAGTATTCACCTCCAATTGATTATTTCTTGTTCTGTTGTGTTACAAAGTCAAATTAAAGCATATTTAAATGGGATTTTTTCCACTCCGGTAGAAGCAATTCTCTATAATGATAAAATGAAATAAAGTATTTAGATGTCTTCAGAATTATTTTAAAAATAAAAATCTGAATATTACTTAATTGATAAGTATCCACCCCCTTTGTTTTAACAACCTAAATTGGGTGAGGTATTCAATTATCTTGACATCACACTTAATACGATAACAAGGTACACGTGTTCAATTGCTTGATTGCACAAAAAAAAATCACTGTGAGGTCTCAAGTAAATCAGATCAGTCCTGCTGTCATGAAGAGCAAGGAGCTGCTTGTGGAACTTCGAGGAAGTTGATAGGAGGAAAAAAGCTGGAGAAGGTTATAAAAAGATTGGTAAAGCTTTGAACCTTCCTAGGTTCTTCCATTGAAACAAAATTGAAAAAACATGACACAAACCCAGAAACTACTAAAATCAGGCTGTCCTACCAGACTGAGCAACCGGACAAGAAGGGCAATAGTCATAGAAGTGACCAAGAGGCCAGCTACAACACTGACAGTTGCAGAGCACTTTGGCTGAAATGGGAGAAACTGTCCAGACATCAACAATCTCTTCAGCACTTCACAGATTCGGCCTCGTTGGGAGAATGGCTAGAAGGAAGCCACGTCTGAGAAAGGCCAACATTAAGTCACACCTGGAGTATGCTAGGAGCCATGTGACAAAACCTGAAACCTGAAAATGTTGTGGTCTTATGAGACTAAAGTTGCTTTCAGGCCAAAGAACTCAAAGCGCTATGTTTGGTGCAAACCAAATACAGCCCAAAACCCAGGTAACACCATCCCTACCGTCAAGCATTGTGGTGGCAGCATCATGCTCTGGGGGTGTTTTTCAGCAGGAGGAACTGGAAAGCTTGTTGCCATCAAGGGCAACATGGATGGAGCCAAATACAAGCAAATCCTTGAGGAGAGCCTGTGTCAGTCAGCCAGAGATCTGCGTTTAGGGCGAAGATTCATTTTCCAGCCAGACAATGACACATGGCAAAAACTATCAAGGAATTGCTTGAAAAACGTTAGTATTCTGGAATGGCCCAGCCAGAGCCAAGACTTGAATCCAATTGAAAATCTGTGGTATGACCTGAAAACTGCTGTCCACCAACGCTCTCCATCTAATTTGGCAATCTAAATGTGCAAAGCTCATTCAGATATCCCGTAGAAGACTCACTTCTGTAACTGCTGCTTAAGGACTAAATATACAAAGTATTGACTTGGAGGGGGGAGAATAATATTTTTGTAGATGAGAAATTAAGTCTTTCATTCTGGTGAAATGCATGTTCATGAGTAAAAATATTTTTTATTAATAAATGTGTTGAATTTATTATTGAAGGGAGAAAAAATCATTTCAATGTGTTAAAAGTTGGAGGTGTAACTGGAACAAAATGCAAAAAAATTAAAGGGGGTGAATACTTTCTGAAGGCACTGTATAGCTGATTAAAAATGTTTTAACGACAGATTGCAAAACGTTTTTATGATCCATAAATTTGACACCAGTAATAAACATAGTATTGGGTGCTAATTTAGAAATCTATGGGCCCAAACTCAAAGGCCAATATTTTGCCTTTGAACATGGCAAACCTTATTACGTGCTGTGGATGTCTGACCTAATATTCTGCAAGTACAGATTTATTTCAATTCTATTAACTCAATGTCTTACTTTATGAAGAAGAAGTAATGAAAATTTAAGATATGTGGGACCTTCAAATTTATCTTACATCAATTTTGAGAACACAAAAGCTGTGGTGCTCAAGCTTTGAAGCTCATCCAGACTACCGATTTAATCTATCCTACAGAAACCCTTTAAATTTTGTTCAATTATATTCACACTTTACTTGTTGAGGGGAAATCAAACATCTGTGCAACAAATTTTAAGCATTTAGATTCCATATTAAAAGACAGGCAGTACAGTGTGAATACTTCATCTAACGCAAAATGTGATTCTTGACAATATTAGTTGAGATACTTTCTATATTACAGCACGTAAAACTGGAGAGCAACAGTGAAGTTTTAGACTTTGACTATTTTGTTTAGAACCCATCACCACATTTAGTCAGATAACATCAATTGTCTTAGAATCTGATGCATATGATGTGGACTTACCACGGTTTCACTTTAATTGGTTAACCCCATTCAACCCAAAGT